TGAATTCAACAAACTGATTTTGTGATAAACTATAAATATGTCCAAATGATAATTAAACTCTTTTTTTAAGGTCAATTGAGTAGTGATAGGGACAATGTTTTAATAGAGTATATGCATTCTTCTTTTCAAATATATCTTAAAAATCTTGATATTGGCTTAAAATGCTACTTGAAGTCTTATAAAGAAAAGATTTTGAGGAAAGAATAGAACCTTCATTACGTGTTTCATAAGATTCTAGCCACATGGTTCCTATTATAGCTGAATAAACTTATTTTTTGACATACTATCTTCTTTAACAATCATATTCTTTATTTTGTGATTGCAATGCTTCTTTGGATAGTATTGAGTAGGGTATTTAGGTTTTCTACAATACAAGCATAATTTTTTTTAATGACGATATGTCTTTTCTTGCTAAATAAGAGATTTGAAATATACCACATCAATTTGTATATTCTCTATTTTTGAATGTATGTGTTAAAAAGACATTAGCATTTTTATTAAATTATAATAAGATTGAAGTACACTTGTGTGACTCTTAGATCAAAATTCAAAAAGTCAATTGTTGCACTTCACAGCAAAGTCAATTGCTTGACTTAATGTTTGAACATCAAGTATGTTGAGCATTAATTTTTTTTACCTCATATTATAATTTATAGAAAAATTAGCTAATAAGTGCAAAATCATCGTACTTAATACTAGTTTCAAGTTGTTAAAATTGTGAAGAATGTAACATTACTCATCAATTGTCTTATTGCAAAATATAGATCTTATTGGTTACAATACAAATTACATTATGTTTTCTATACATAGATCAAAACTTTGTCAAAAAAGCTTCTAGATTATCTAATATTAGATTTCATCATTCAAGAAAAGATGAAAATCATAATAATACTGAATCTAAAAGGAGTGTATTAATGAATTTAACTTGTAATCTTAGAATTGAATAGCTCTAGGATTGAAGTTCAATCATAAGTTGTACTTGATTGATAAATCTTCAAAACTTGGATCTTATGCCATCAAACTTCTTGGACAGTATAATCCTTGATTCTCTAATATTGGAAGGATGTTCTATTATAAAAGAAGAAACTTGATTTGGTGCAAATGTTGAAGTAGCTCCATTCATTTCTAGATCTTCGCTCCTTACTATTCTTATTACTCTATGTGGTGGAAAATTGAATTGATGCATTGCAAGTATTATCTTCTTTAATTGTTCTTACATTTGTGCCATTGCATTCTTTATTTCAAGAAGTTTTTCCATGATAATACTTAAAAAAAGAAAGATTGCTCAAGAAAAATATAAGAGAAGACTCAAAACAAAAAAAAAAAAAATACTAAGGACAATATCAATTTAGAAGAGGGTAATTTCCAAATTCTAATCCTCTTAAGTCTTATCAAGAGAAAGGAATAACCTACTCTTAATCAAGACAAGACAAAGCTCTGATATTGTAAGTATACTCTTGTCAATCCGTAAAGGATAAGAACTTGATGAAAAAAAAAAATAAGTGAGACTTTTTCAAAGAAATATGACAAAATAGAAATAGAAAATTATATATATTAAAAAAAAATAGAATGGCAATTACCAAAAAACAAAGAAATTAGAGACTCTTATCAATTCTTTTCTTGTTTCTAGTCTGGTTTTAAGAATGTCTAGTTTTCTTCTCTATTAATAAGAACCATTTTAATTTTCTTTTTAATATAAATATTTTTTTATTTTTATTTTGACATATTTTTTTGACATACTTATTTGTTTGCTTTCATACAGTTCTTGTCCTTGATATAAGATAAGTAGAAGAGAAAATTAAAAAATAAAATAAATTTTAAAAATAATATCAATTTAGAAGTAAGTAATTCAATAATTTTAATATGCTTGTGTTTTATTAAAAAAAAAATGTAATTTACTTTTAATCAAGAAGAGATAAACCTTTCATATTATAAATATATTCTTCTGAATCTATCAATAAGAAGAACTTCATGAAGGCAAATAAGCAAGTGAGACTTTTTTCAAAGAAATATGATAAAATAAAATAAAAATATGTATATTAAAAAGAAACTAAAATGGCTATTATCAAAAAATAAAAAAAATTAAGGACCCTTGAAACTAAACTAGAAGTAAGAAAATACTTGATAAGAATGAAGAAGGCTTTAATCTTGCATTTATATATACTATCTACCTAAAAGCTACGTGGTGACATTTTGTAAGATCTCCAATATGTCTTCAATTTGCAAGATACATGTCTTAACTTGCAATACAAGTTTTTTATATGTGTACCACATTGTTAGCTGATACAACAAGCTATCAATATATGCAATAAGTGGCTAACTTGCTGGCTAAGTTTTTAACCTATCAATCACTTATAGACATGTATAAAGGTGAAACCACATCTAAAAATCTTCTTTAAAAGATATTATGAAATCAATTTACTTTAATCTATTTCTATCTATTCATATTATTTAAAGAATTATTAAAATAAATATGTATATCCATAATTCACACTTCAAAAAAACAACAACAATAATTATTTTAAATATATTATATAATTAAAAATTCACTTGAATGTATCTATAAAAATGTAGATTGTCAAGCTGTAAAATAAAGTCTCTTTTTTAGTTGCACATGATATAAGTGCCATTAGAAGCTTTGGTGACTAATAAACACTAAGTTCTACTTGTCCATGTAAAAAAAGGTTAAGTTAGCTTCTTATTGAAAGAAAAAAATTGAATATATTATTCAATCTTTTTAATGAAAAAAAAAAGAGATGCATGCAATAAATACAATTTTGACATAATAAAGGTTATGGCAATCTAATTTATTTTTTAAATTTTTGGATAATTTTTATAAAAATAAATTAATCACATATTATTTTTTAATTCTATTTTTTTAATTTATCATAATAATTTTTTTATAATAATTCTATAATTTATTTTTTTCTTGATTCTTTTTTTATTTATTCTATATTATTATTAATATTGATAATAATTAGTCTTTGATTTGAATGAATCTTGTTGCTAATTTTTTTTTAAAAATCCCTATCAAGTGTATTAATAAGATTTTTTAGATAACTACTTTAGAAGCTTAATAATATTACATCCATATCAACATGTAAGCTATTTTATTTTATTTTAGTACAATCTCAAATTTGAGATATTTTTTTAATTTTAAAATCTTAAGTACTATATATTTTTATAATAAATTATAGTATTCTCTTATTTCATGACATATAGGTTGTTTAATTGTATTAATTAGAAAAAACATTAAAAAGGATAAATTTTAATCAAATTTAATAAATATTAAAATATAAAATTATATTATTTTGTTTATAGATAGATTCTAAAGTCTTAATAATGTAACTTGTTTAAAGGTTCATTAGTCTTAATACTATAAAAAAGTAACAATAGATTATTAAAATTTTATATAAAAATTTATATATTTTATCACAATACAAGCATTAAAAATAATTCTTTTCAAAAATCCTAAATTGAAGTTTTTGTAGGATTTAAAAAAAATAATAACTAAAAGACTAGATTGTAGAATTTTAAAGATTGTATATAAAGATTATTCTTAATATAAGACATTGAAGACTTATAATTAATTTGTAATATTGTATTGTAAATAAATCCTTCAAAATAAGTTACAAAAATAAAGGTTGATATTTTTTTGAACTTTACTAGTAACAAAATGATATACAAAGATTTAATATTTTTCAAAGAAATATAGTATAATACAATCAAAAGTAGTTTGTTTTTAATCAGTCATAAATATTTCATATTATAAAGAAAATTTTAGCAAATAGAATTGTAAATAAGTTCTTGCTCTTTTTAAGTAATTTGGCTAGATGTTAAAAGATTATTAGGATTCAAAATTTCACAAAATAAAGAATTTATAATTTAAGTTTATATTGTACATTTAATAAATTTTAATATGAAGAAAAAGAAGGAAATAAGATCATATGTGGAAAAATAATGCCAAATGACTTTTTTGACAAAATAATCAATAAATTTCTTATTAGAGCATAGACATCTAAATTAAAAATAATTATGAAAAGATTATAGAATTCTAAGGTAATAAATAATATTTATGTTTCAATTATAGAAAATTCAAACATTCACATTAGAAATAGATAACTTTAAGTAGCATATATTTTCCTTTGTTTTTACAACAATTATACCTAAACTAACAACTAAAAAGAAAAAAAGAAAAAAGAAGGAATTTTAGTTACTGAAATCGAATCACAATTCTATTTATTTATTTATTTATTTATTTTTATTTATGTGTAATGATAAAACTTTGGAACTTAAATAAGAAAAACACACAAAATAGTAGAATGAGTTGCTATTCTTGAAGATTTGGATGTGGTAAAAATATTAGCACAGTATGGCATTTGATTTTAACGAAGGATAATGGAAACAATAAACAATACTTCATGAGCTGATGCAATTGGAGTACGATGCTTGTAAGAAAAGAAGTTCTATTTACAATACTCTAGCATTTGCATGAACCAACATAATAATATGGCTGAATTTGCAGAACTTTGACGTATTGCTGAAGAGCTATTGCAACCCCAGAGGACCGAAACTTACACGAACACCTAAACCACATTGTCTAAAACATCTTACCTCGTGATTCGGCGAAAAACAAGGAAGGACAAACCTGTTCCCATGGCGGTGACAAGTATATGAATGAGGCATTGATTCCACCCACGAGACCCCTCGGCTCCAAAAGCGCTTCATCTGATTACAACAAAGGTGTGAAGTTTCCCTCACAAGCCACATCGATCAGCATCTGAGACACATAGACCGATACCAATTGGCGGCAATGCCACACAGTAGGGCAGTATCTATGTACTGTAGAAGCATGTAGACCTTCTGGAAGAGCCTACAGTCACACTACAGAGTGGAGAATTATATAGAAGTCTGCATTAACAGCAGAAACACGTAAACGAATTGCAGTTTCGTCCCCTGGTAGAAACATTTTGAAGCTGCTGAGGAGGGTCCGGAGGCGAAGACTGTGCACACAGATGGCGCCCATAGTTGAGGTTTGCCCGACTTTCTCATGGCAGCAGATCACCTCCTGGATCGTGGTGCAAGCCCTGCAGTCCTGCTACAGGCCCCTCAATTGGCTGGGTTTTATCATCGAATGGACCATCAACTTCTTCTACCTCAATGGCGGGCTCTTCAGAATGCTCATTAAACTGCTCACCTTCCAATGGGGTCAGTACACTTCTGAACGCGTCGATGATCAACACCTCCCGTGTTTTTCATGGAGGTGCGGCTTTTTGACTTGGTTTCAAGTCGAACCGTCAGTTGGGTAACATAAAGATTATTTGTGATGACTTGCAGGTCGCATCATTTTACCCGATCCGACCGCGGACAACTTCTTAAGCTGCGTAGGGGCGCTGGATCCCCGTTGCGACTTGTACGTGGACACGTCGAGACCGGACAAGGCTTCCAGTACTCGAGCAGACGCACTGGTTTTCCCAGATGAGAACGTTAGCTCGCGATCCACCGCAGATGTGTGCGTCATGGCGGCAAAGCTGGCCTACGAGAATCCAGCTGTTGTTAAGCGAGTGGTAAAAGACATCTGGATGATGAATTTCGTCAAGTTTTACGAATGCTGGAACGGTGAGCACAATCTTGCTTGTGCTCCAGGTTCGACCCGAACATTCTCAGTGGATACGTTGACGTCTGATTGATGCCATGTCGTGTGCTTTTGCTTGCAGAGCACCAGCAGATGGTCAATACGCAGGCATTCATCTTCACCGACAAGCCCAAAGACGCGAACGCCGTCGTGGTGGCCTTCCGCGGTACGGAAGCATTCAACGCGTACGACTGGAGCACCGATCTGGACTTCGCTTGGGTGAAACTGGATCGCCTGGGCGGCGTCCACCTGGGGTTCCTCGAAGCGTTGGGGCTCGTCAGTCGCAAACATCGCGGTACGATTGAGAAGCTGAACACGAATGCAAATGCTTCCAGCAACGAGACCAAGTCGCACGAGCAGGCCGAGGCAAATGCCAACGGTCACATCTTCACTCCTCATCGTAAAACTAGAGAGGAAATTGAAAATGCACCCGCAACTTCCGGCCTCGCTCAAGACATCATCGACGATCCTGCCAAGGAGCTCGCATACGACGCCATTACGAAACAGGTGGGGCTTATCCTCAAGGACAATCCCAGGGCCAAGCTCTTCATCACGGGGCACTCTCTGGGAGGCGCACTCGCCTCCCTCTACGCCACGATGCTCCACTACACCGGCCAGACCGAGATCGCCTCCAAGATCGGAGCCGTCTACACCTTCGGCCAGCCTCTTGTCGGCGACCAGGACTTCGTCAACTACGCGAACTCCAAGCTCAAGGGCAAATTCTTCCGCGTTGTCTACTGCAACGATGTGGTCCCTCGAGTCCCGTTCGACGACATCGTCATGGCTTACAAGCACATCGGCGACTGTAACTACTTCAACAGCGTGTACGACGGAGTCACTGTTCAGGAAGAACCCAACCGGAACTTCTTCGGCATCGCCAAGATAATCACCATGCACCTGAACGCAGTGTGGGAGATTGTACAAGGCTTGTTCTTGATCACTCTCCAGTACGGCAAGCAGTTCTCGGAGTCGACGATGTGTCTGCTGTTCCGCATGCTGGGATTGGCGTTTCCGGGGGTCGCCGCGCACAATCCATGCAATTACGTAAATGCGGTGCGTTTAGGGCCGTTTCCGCTCAGAGAGCGCATCTTGGGCGACATCGCTGACATTTCGGAGGAGATTGCCATGATGAACGACAACATGAAGGACATCCTGTACTGCATTTCGCAGGTGTTTTTTGGGAAGAGTGTTCGCCCTTTGGGTTCGAAGCAGCTGTTTTCTTCCTGAACTCGCTAGTCACAGCACTGGTTGCATTATGCACATGGGTGCAGGTTCAAGTAAATCCGAGGCCGTTGCTAAGAAGTTTGAAGCAATCGGGAACGTGTGCAAGGCCCTGCACAGGTCACTAGAACCTGTGATTGAAGACGTTACATATATATATATATATATATATATGTGTGTGTGTGTGTGTCTGTCTGTCTGTATATCTACACACGTATCCGGGAGTGATCTCGGATGCGGTTAGCGAGTGGGTTGCATCGTGACCGGAACCAGCTCAGAGCAGTGGACAGGAGATTGTAGTCGCATGTGGACCAAGCAAGTAGGGGTTTTCAAATCTAGTTCGCCCAGTAGTGAGTGAATACAGCAACAATGTTATGATGAGAAATTCTATCTACAACACAATATATATTTCACAACCCTTTTGGAATGTGGGTCTCGGAATTTGAATATTATTGAAAAAATATCACACATTTATTACCTTGTTTGGATTTTATCTAGAAAGCCTCAGCTAAAAGAATCTAATAAATAGGCCAATTTTTTGTTGAACGGCCATTAACATTTTACAAAAAGCATATGTCTTTCCTCATCTAAAGTTATGGATATCATACTTGTCATTAAAAGCAATGTTGGTTGTGTTTTTTAGATTTAAAATAATTTGGTAGTAATTCATATTGTCTTCTTTCAAAGCTTCATTTCTTTTAAACATGTTTCTTTTTTCAATCAAGAAGCCATAGCATTTTACAAAAATATGATAGCAAAAAAAAAATCTTACATTTGCTAAGTGTTTAAAAATCAACATCTTATTCAATGTAAACTTTTTTGACTAATATTGTCAATCAAATTGTTCATTTTTGACCAAATATACTAGCAAGATTGTATAATAAACACTTCTTAGAAAAAAAATATATTAAATTATATTGTGCATTTAGACAAGAGGTATTAGATTCTTCCAATATTAATTCCATAAGTGCAGAATTGAGAAACAAAAGAAGATAGAACACAAGAGAAATAATATTTTGAAAGCCAATATAAGAATTTGAAAGAGCAATTGAAAAAAACAATGACATAAGTTAATACAAAAATCATAATATGAGGAACTTGTGAATGAATTAAAGGATATTGGAACCACATAATTTTGAAAAACTTAATACTATAATATATTTCTTTTTGATTGAAGAAGGAGCAACCAAAATGGTTGAAACTTCTTGACAAGCTATAACTGTTAACTTTACTTTTACTATTCCATTATGATTGATTAATTGAATTATATATTTCAATAAGCCTTTTTAACCAAGTTATAGTATAATTATAGTTTTTTATTTTTTTAAAGTAGGCCAAGCAATGGCAAATATTAAACAAACTTTGGCTTATATATGAATTTGGTGAAAATATCAATATATATATATATATATATATATATATATATATATATCATAGGTAGAGCAATATTGAAATTGAACTTTGTTAAAAGTAGTAAGTTGGTATATGAAATGATATCAAATTGTAATATGGTTTATTTGTGAATAAAATTGGTGGTATCAATTAAAGTAAGTGTAGATTGATTATTACAATAAATTAAGATTGATTATGTTAGGTTTTTGTATTGGTGGAGGTTGTAGAATAGATGTCAAAGTCAAATGAATTTGGAGGTGATTTTTACTATTTCTATATACTCAACTTTGATATTAGAGAAAGTAATAGATCATTGATAAGTGGAGCTTTAACTAATAGCACCATGTTATAAGAAGAAAACATAGCTTGATATAGAGCAATGCTTATTAATTTTGCTTGTACAGCCAACATCATTGAAATTATATATGAATTATAGAACAAGAGTATAACAATCATACTTAATATAAAATCTTAAGATATTTTAAAGATATTGAAACGTGTGCTTGTAGGCACACATATAGGAAATGTCGAAGTTGTGTATGTATAGAAGAAACACATTGATGGCAATTAATATATGATTGGATAAATACAAAAGCTAGAGCAATTTAATAATCTAGCAACATTGGCATGTAAAAATGTGGTGTATAGGAGTTTTTTTCCTAAAATTATAGAATAATCTATAGCAACAAGATGGATTTGAAGTACTAGCTATTAAAAAATGAGATCCATTGCAATGTTTACAAGTAATTCTATGGCTCAAATATTCATAGTAAGTAACATTTTTTAGTAGCCTTAACAACATTTAAGATTCAAAGATGAATTTTTGTATCACTATGACTCTAAAGATCTGGTTCTTGATGTCCAAAAACTTTTATTTATTATTATAATTAATAAAGATAACTTTTAATACACCTTAATAGTATTTTTTGTAAGGAATGTATAAAACAAATATTTTTTGTTACAAGAAGCATGTAAAATATTAATAACAAAAGTATACATCCACCTTAATCTACTACCAAGTGTACACATACTCTAGTCTACTACCAAGTGTACACATACTCTAGTCTACTACCAAATGTATATCTACTTTGATCTACTATCAAGTGTACATCTATCTTAATCTACTATCAAGAGTGCCAAGATTAAGATAGCGAAGTAGCTTCAAAAATAATTCGTACTTTTGCTACTCTAGTTGGACATAATAAAAAATACAAGTTTTTTTACAAAAATATTGGAATATAATAGAAATGTATACACAATAGATTGAAGTTGATACTAGAAGTTAAATAGTGTGAAGATTTATTATGCAATTTTTTAAAAAAATTAAAATTAAATTAAAGTATATTATAATGATAAAGATCTCAAGCTTACAAAGTTAATGTTGTTGCTATTGCTTTGGTTCTTGCAATCTCATCTCACGCAATCTTAAGAGTGTCTGCCCAAAATAAAGTAAGGTATTATCTCTCAATATTCTCAAGTAGATAAATACTTATTAGACTTCAACAATATTAACATGCAAGGCAGCCATGGCCCATTGATGAATCTCTCAAATTAACATACTCATATGATTATTATGTAATATAAAAGAAATATGAATATTAAAAAACTTATTCAAAGTGTTACAATTTTTTTTTCTTTAGCAGCTCTTGTAAATACATGCTATTGCAATTAAAAAGTAATTCATATTTCTTCACTCAATTTTGGATTTACCTATATATTCTATATCTCTATCAACCTCTGATAGTAACTAAGTTTATTTCAACCTCCCTCTTTTCATGTTGGTGGCATTAGGTGAAAGGTGATATATTAAATCTGGTTAAGCATTTAGAAAAGAGGACCATTGTCTGTTTAATGCATGTACTAGAAGCCAATGACATGATGGTGCTGTCCAACTATAGCAAAGACAAGCCAAGTAGCATATAACATTTGATTATAAAGCAATGCATCTGTGGCATTTGTCATCAATAAGACAAACATTGCCATGTATATACATTACATTTTCCACACATACATAAAATAATCATATAAGTTGAAATAAAAAGTAAATTAATTGTATCTCTCCACCGTCAACCTTAGTAGCCATAGTAAAATATGATGTATTATACTTGAGCTTTGACAACATAAATATCATTATTAATTTAGCAAAACAAACAATTTTTTGTATGTGCATCTCATTGGCACCTATCATTGTACACCCATCTTTATGAATTAGCAAATATATATATATATATATATATATAAAATAAAGAATTCAATGAAGCATCATATTAATAATAACCTTCTTCTTGAGTATTTAGTAAAGTATCATACCTCAATTTTTTATATCATACTAACAATGACCTTGAATATCATTATGAAATTCCATCCAAAAATATAAAAATAGAAAAAATATTTATCTTATTCTAAGTTACTTAGTGCTGAAGAAAATCCAGTATTGTATACAAACATAGCTATTAGGTGAAAGAAAAAAAAAAATATTTTACTATAGAAGAATTTAATTAAAAGATATAATAAAATAATATAAATAAAAGATAAATATGTTGAAAAAACTTATAGTATTGGAATTTATTTTTATGAAAATAGATTTTATTTATTTTTTATGGCTATAAATAAAATAGATTAAAAAAATAAAGCATATAAGCATATGTTGGAAGGATTTAGAAGTTGATTTTAATAAAAATTTCCTCAAGAAAATAAGAATTGATACTTAGAGAAAACCAGTTGCCAACTAAGGTCAAAATTAGACCTTAAGGCACAAAACCAAGCATCTATGTTGTTTTTGTACTTTTGTTACAAATCAAAAAATGAGAATTAAAGATAAAGCAAATTAAGCTTTTTTGAATATTAATTTTAAAAATTTTTAATTTTTAATAACTTTATAAGAGCTTTACAAATTTAGGGTTATTTTGGATGACTTAAGATTTTGTGAAATAAAATAGGATTTATATTTTAGGTAACTTTGAGAATTTAATAATAGTTTTATAAGTAAAAATTTGTAAATTTATGAATTTAGTTGTATTTAATGTGTGATTTGAATTTGAACTTAATTAAACAGTTAAGTTGAATGTTATTGAAGTTCAAGTGGATTGAGGTCTTAAAAATTGGAATTTGAGAGCTGATAAGAAATTCTAAGGTTTCCACCATTTTATCACTTGATTTGATGTGAAAATAATTTTATAGGTATTTTACTTGATTTTCAATATTTTTGTGAATTTTAAGAGAAATTCAAAGATTTAAGAAGGTGATATTGGTGTTGAAAGCTTGGCATCAAGGTTGAAGAAGGAGGTTGCCAAACATCCAAATAGATTATCTTTTATTGTTATGAATTAATAAATTCAATTAATTTTATTTTTCTTATGCATATTTTTAACTAAATTTTTAAAAAGTGTATAAATTTTGAATTGATATCAATAGTTCAATTATTAGTTATTGAGATTTCAAACTACTGTAAGATTTATTAATAATTTGTTTAAGATTTAAGATTTGATTTAGAATTTGGTCTTAAATTTGAATAGGATTTAATTAGAATTTGATCTAGAATTTAATTAGGATTTGGTATAAGATTTGGTTAGGATTTAGGATTTGATTAGAATTTGGTTTAAGATTTGGTCAAGATTTGGTCTAGGATTTGATCAAGGTTTTGTTTAAAGTTTGATAAGGATTTTATTAGGATTTGATGTAAAATTCAAGATTTATTTAAGGCTTGATTAAGATTGATTCAGGATTTTATTTGGATTTGATTAAGATTGATTTAAAATTTTATTAATATTTTTTGACGATTATATTAAGATTTAATTAAGATTAAATTAGATTATTTTTGTGTTATTTTTTGTTATTATTTTATTATATATATTACTTTAAATTAATTTATAATTTCTTTATGTTTCTTTGTAAGTTCTTGAGACTTCTTTTGAATTTTAATTAAAGATTGATTAATGTTATTATAATTTAATTAGAATTTTTTAAGATTCTATAAAAATTATTAGGACCATCTTCTTGCAAGTTCTATTTTAT